ATTTCAGGTTGAGCCGTATACTGTCGAGGAGCTTACAGCTCGTCAGTTCAGAACGGTCTTCGATTATATCAAATAATGCCCTCAGGGATAGAATCAGAAATATTACAATACCAGATAGAGAGACTACTCCAGCTCGTCCATCGGACTTTGAATTAGTCGCTAGAATAGTTCACCTTCTTCAGACACTTCTCGAGTTAGTTCAGCATACAACACAGTCATTCCATAATTTAGCCGTTCTTTTAGTTCGCAGGCAGCCACTAGAGATCAGGTACACTCACCTCATGGGTTGGATCCATGAACTGACTCATAGCACCCAACCAGCTAGACCAGTGAATATAAGACCAACTCAGGATTTATTTTACTCTAGATTTACTGCCAGTGGTCGAAACGATTACAAGTCTACTTCACAGCAACCTTGCAGCTTTTCGGTGTTACAGAGGACACCCTTAGAGAAATACTTCAACATAGTTCAGCTGTTCATGCGCATGCTACGCGTATGATCAGGGTGCTAGAAACCCATCAAATGGTGCACTTCTTCAACAGTAGAAAACTAAGAGTTACTTCAGAAGATGAAGAATACAGGCTTAATTCAGCTGTTAGCATGCCTCCTCCTTGGCCGGAAGAACCCGAATCCTATATTCAATCTCTCCGTTGGTGGCGTGACAACTACTCCCATGCCCTCATGATCAGGACCACGGAAGAATATCTCCAGATATCGAGGATCGATAGAATACTTCCAGGAACAGGCTCAAGGACTTCAACAACGTCCCACTCCACAGGTCCCACAGCGCCCCCTAACCCAAATAACGGTTCCCAAGTTGCCCCCTCCAACCGCATGGCCAACGTCGGACCCCCTCGTGCCCCCGGAGGCTGGACATCCGTCCACTTCAGCTGCTGGTCGTCGCGAGGAATCTCAAGCTTTGGGTAAAAGGAAGCACGGAGACGATAGTTCAAGCTCAAGAAACGAGGCCACCGCCGGTTAAAACCCGTCGTACTCCACCACGCAGGTCTCCGAAGTTCAATCCGCAGACCAGTGAGCCAGGCTCCTTCGGCCCCTAGTCGTTCCCGTTCCAGGTTCCCCACTCGTGCGGCCCCATCGGAAAGTCACGGGAAGGTCGAGCCGTGTGCCTTCTGTCATGGCACAGGGCACTACTCGTCGGACTGTGACAAGTACCCGTACGTCAGTTCCAGAGCGCACTTGGCCGAGAGCTTCGGACTCTGCTGCAACTGTCTCAAGCCTCACTTTGGGATTTGCATTCGCAAAGACCCGTGCAGTGTGTGTCAACAGGAAGGTCACCATCGAGCGTTCTGCAATCGGAACCACTTCTCTGTGTTCGACATCGACGTCCCGCCGGAGCAGTTCTTCGACGATCTCCAGATTCAGGACCTACAGAGAGCCTCCACCTGGTGCAGCAACGCGTCGACCCTACCAGTGTTCCTATCGAGAGCGTAGTCGGACAGAAGAGCAGGAACGTTCAGGACAGTCGGATCGTCAGCCACCACCTCCGGAGCGAGAGCGTTCCCCGGAACCCTCGACCTCGGGAGCTTATAGAGACATGGGGTTCTCGCCGGCCAATAGTGATGAGTCATGGTAGAAGGATAATACAATAGTTCAGTTTGTCGATTCTTTACAGTCATTGATAGTTCACCTACAACCTTACGACGCTACGATAGTTCATCACTTATGCAATGCTCTAATAGTTCAGAATTCTCAGATGCAACCTAGTTCACATATATCAACGTGCGGTAGTTCAGTAGTTCACCTTCTATTCACTCGCCGTCGTCATAAGTCGAGAGATTTACGACCGAAGATTACGACAACTATTAGCTGGTAAGCGGTAAGTGATTAGAGGGAAACTAATATTGATTGTTCAGGTATGCTGGTTGACGGAATAGCTGTCGGTGTCATACGACTGATCTTTATGTCGATATTTTACGGCGAAGACTTGTCTCAGGATCTTTCCTGAGTTTATTTCTTATTTCTTGTCCTTTTCGAGGATCTAATTCTTCGTCTCGTTTCAGGTCCGTTCGTACCCACCGACTCGACGTTTCCTCTATAACGGTGTTTTGTCAATATACTTCAGGATCACAATCCTGAGTTTATTTCCTTTTTTGTAAATATTTCAGCCCTAATTCCTTTTCGTTCAGGTTCGTCGTATCGATCAGCCCACATGCCTACATCGTGCCCTTTACGACAGTGCTTTACGACTATAAGTCCGGATGCCGGTGCCCGCGGGCTAGTCGCCGTCTTGACCCCTATGTATCTACTTCGTGATCGTGCGGCAACGCACGGTGCTGTTATCGACAGCAACATCACGAACCTGCCTGGGTTCCTCTTACGTCATGGGTCCTACGTCATCGAAATTATGTACGGCGATCCCGTGGGGCTTTGAGCCCTTAGAACTATCATGGAAATTATCTTGTTGTGGATTTATCTATCGATATCTAAATTCTATTGGAAGTTGGTCGTCTGGCGGGTCTGTGGCAGAGACCCGACGTGAGTTCCCTTTTTCTCTAGTTCACTTACTAACATAACTTGTAAGGATTATCAGTAAAACATAAATAATTATTAGTTAATGTGTTATTGTGTTGTGAGGTGTTAACCTAGATATTGTGCACTAATATATCTGTCAATTATCTTCGGGCCAGAGGAGTGGTGCTAGTAGGAGCTCGGCTAGGTAGACGGTCTAGTTCACAACATCATCTTAGGTCTGCGGTAAGCACTCAGGGCCATAAGTGCGTTAAGGTGTCGTTGCTACAGGGGTTCGCGCTTAGGAAGCTCACGCGTTCCTCTTCAGGTTACGTGGGTTTCCCCCCTCGCGGTCACCGATTCGCAACAGCTAGGTGTTTGAGAAGGTTTTGAAAAAGAGGATTGTAAGCCATTTGGAGAAGTACGATTTCATTTCCGAGCAGCAGCATGGCTTCCAAAAAGGTAAGTCTACCGCGACAGCCATGCTACAAGCGCTCAATGACTGGACATGTTATCTCGATGAGGGGCTAGGAGCGGATGTAGTTTATTTGGACTTCGCTAAGGCGTTCGATAGGGTTTCTCATACCAGAATGATAGCCAAACTGACTCATGTAGGCATTCACCCCAGAATTGTGGTGTGGATTAAGGCCTTTCTTACTGGCAGGTCCTACTCTTTACGAGTCAATGGCGAATTTTCCAAACCCAGACCAGTACATAGCGGAGTGCCACAAGGGTGTGTCCTATCACCTGTCCTCTTTAATATCTACACTTTTGAGTTACCTCGTTTGGTCAGTTCTAAAGGGGTTAAATGTGTGGCCTTTGCAGACGACTTCAAATTATACTACCCGATTTCATCCGCTCATGATAAAGAGTTGCTACAGGGAGCTATAAATGATGTCAGTAATTGGGCTATGCAATGGGAATTGCCCTTATCTAAGGAGAAGACCAAGGTGTTACGGATTGGGAAAATCCCTGTGGATTGTTCATACTCAATCGGAGGGGTCCACTTGGGGTGGTGAAGGAAATGAAAGACCTTGGTTTCCTCGTAAGAAGTGATCTTTCGAAGAACATTGCTCTATAATCGCCTCCAAAGCAGCCAATGTACAATTTTTTTCGATCTTTCTTGACGAAAGACCCCCGTGTTCTTATAAAAGATATATATATCAGACCCATACTAGAGTATGGAACTGTAGTTTTTAACCCTCACAAGATAAAAACTGTGAAAGCTCTGGAAAAAGTTCAAAATAGTTTCACGAGAAAGGTTTTTATGAGAACTGTTGGGTTCAGATATGACAATATACCGAACAGTGACGTACGTAATCTCAACCTCGGTCTTGAGTCACTTGCGCTTAGGAGGAAAAAATTCGACCTTTTGACATTTTTTAAGATCCTTGCATTTTAAAACTGGTCTCAAGCCCAACACCTTGTTTGCCTTCCGGGAGTCAAGGACGAGGGGTAGTTCAATGAAGGTAGTGACTCGCAGGGCTAAACGCAACGTCAGGCACCATTTCTTCGTTAACAGGACCTCTCTGGAGTTCGAGAGGCTGGTCAGAATGGGGGTATCTACCAACAAATTCAATTCATTCAAAGCCGCTTTGGACAAGCATCTTACATCATAGTCTTTGCTTCTCGTTCATACGCTGTGTTACGATGTTTGCCACTGTTTATGTTATTTCGCACTTTGTTTCTGCTACGGTTGTTTTTGTTGTTTGTTTTGTTCTTTTTTCTGAAACCTACACACAGAATTATCTGTGTAATAAACAAATTCAAACAAGTACTACAATGTCTTCCTGATTAAACTATAACATTGATAGATCCACTCAGCACTCCCCTTCAAAATCTCGGAATACATAGGTGTGTGCGAGCACCCATAATTTTTTTACACCTGTAATATCGGAAGAAATTTGAAAACTGCGCAAAAGAGTTTTTTCTATTCTCCACATCGAACCGTACCGTTCCAGCGGCAAAAAGGTGCGTTCCCCAAGTCTAGCTGCAGTTTCGCCAATGGATTAAGTGAGTTCTGTGAATCAAATGAATAGCGTTTCCTTGCTACTCGACATTAGCATTCAACACACTCAGCGGACGCGCTAAAAAGAACAAAAAAGAACATTGGGAACGGTCGTCTTCGATTCTGGAATGCCCGCAAATGGGAAAAATGGGGAAGTTTGAGTCAGAAAGATGGGCGCCACACATATACAGATCGAGCCACGAGGGCGTTGCCCGTGTTGAACACTGCACTCGAGACAAAATGTATAGGAAATAGTCCGTTCCTTCACACCGCGTCAATTTGCTGCTCTCGCCGGCACCTTTTAGCTCATGCTTCTGAGGTAGCTATTACAGGATGTTCGATAGTTCGTGTCACAGAAGATTAGAGGACATAGGGGCATGACAATAACATATTGGCGCCATTCGGAGTAATCAAAATAAAAATAAATAAAATAAATTCGTCAGCCATTTTGTCCGGTGTGCCTGACACATACCCCCTAGTATGAAAGCCCATTCCTCGGAAGAGGTGGCAAGAAATTAGACGGATCATTAAATTCATCATTTACTCTACGCTCTACCACTCTGCAGACTGATAAAAATAAAGGATAAAGCTTTTGCCGTTGATCAATCCCTTTTTGGGATGCGGCACGCATTCTACTTCCATTTGTACATTCGTAGTGGCGTTTGAATGCGATGTGGCCTATACAATGACTTGCGGGGGCCAGCCGATGTACAAGTCAGTGTTTTTATCCTCCCAGACAAGTCTGGTACCAATTAACCGACCCCGGATGGAAGGCTTGGTTGGCCCGGGCGACTCACGACCCAGGATTCGATCCCCGGACGTGGTAAGCGTGCCACTTGCCACTACACCACTTCCGCCCTGCAGATTGATAATTCTGAACACTCTTTCTTCTCAAACGACACATTTATAAAGCAAGAATCTCAAATGAGGTGAAACATGTGAGAACTGAGAAACTAAATTGCATCATTCCTAGGAATCAACCTGATACACGTGAGGGAATCAAATCATCGTCATTGTGTCAGCTAAAACGAGCACTAATCGAAAAAGCGGAAACTAGAAAACCGTACATACAACAATCAACTCGTAAGGTAAACCTATGCGTAAAAAGCGTACCCACAGTAATTACACTGACAATAGATCCTTCAAAAAAAGCAAAAAATCGATTGAAATTATCGAACAGCATTCATCTCAGCCTATTCAGCGATAGCTGTTGATCCACATGTGGATGACCAAATCGAAAAAAGTTAAGATGCTTTTACCAAGTCATTTTTAAAGGACCCATCCAGTCTACTGTAGGCAGCGGTGCCAAGTGGTGACTACAACTTCTGTGAATCCTTACAGTAATTTAAACAGCTGTAAAAACTCGGAAAATTATTGTAATTTCCGTTGGCACCGAAGTAACTGAAGCGTTCACACGAGTTCACCGCATGATTCCACGAGAATCTGAACAAATAATTTCATTCAATAATAGGTCAACAATCAATAACGTTCGATGAATGTCTAAAGTTCAAAGGTGCATTCTACGACTGAATACAGTTTAGCTTAGGGAGTTCAAAAAGGAAAGCAGTTGTGATAATTTGCTTGCCAGTGAGGGTGAATAGCGATAAAACTCGCTAAATATCCTTGAAATCACATAGCGCGCTGGTCACGTGGGCGGGGCTTGTACTCCGCCCCTACGTGTTCTCATTGGTCGGCTCTATCTCTCCGTATCTACCATATCAGGGAAAAGCCTGACCAGCGAGGAATAAGCGTGGAGCGAAACTCCTCTCACATGATCGACGCGAAATGTGATCCGTATGAATTTGACTATTCGCTTGTTTCTTTTCACTACTGAGTCGACAAAATGTAGCGAAAAAATGGGTATTCATTAGGGGGAGGGGCATATGATGCATCTCCAGAAGGCTACGGTAACTCCGATCCAGGGGGTGGGCAAGCAATCTAGGGGGGTGCGGGTGAGGCGAGTTACTTGCCATGCGTGAAAGCAGGAATGTTTACAGTGATTCGCCGAGAACCTGCATCACGATGCCCCCCCCATAACTGGAATAGACCCGAGAAACATTTTTCCGTGCACAATTAGCTCTACCTATTCAGTCGCAGAACGTACTACCTCAAACAGAATGACACTAGATGTTCTCACCGTGGTCGATCTTCAATACCATCCACAAAGGAGCCAGAATCGTCACGGAGTGAGCAGACAAAATCTTAATCGGATAGTTTACTTAATATTAATCTTTAATTGCTTTTGCTTTTTTAGTAACACATACGCGAAGCGGTTCACAATGACTCCTCAAAAAACCGAAATTACTACAAGTGGCGTGAGCTATCGCAACACACGCCCACCCCTTTTTTCGAAATGATGTTATCTGATAATCCATATGTCAATGTGCAATAAAACTGACCTTTTGTGGGGCAACATACGCCGTTCTTCAATTCGTGGTTAGGTGGGCACGAAGGATTCGGAAGAATATATTGCGCATTAGGTATCAAGTAGTTGGAACCGCATTTTTCGGCTAAAATTTCAAATTTAAATGAAAGTGATCAAGATTCTCAGATAGGTGTATGGTTTCAAGGGCCAAAGGCAACAAATTAGAGACAAGATTCGCGATAAAAGATTGCTCATCGTAGGGAAAGATGTGCGATGGAGAAGGTGGGCGGGACATGCTGCTAGAAACGTCCTGAAATTTCTTCCGATACTCAGACACGCTCGTGGAAAGTGTAGTAATTTGAATATTGAATTATAATATCGTAGTTGAAGTAAACGAGCTACCGACAACTTCGGACTTTGTTTCGTAATTTAAGTGTAGTGTTGGAGCGGTCATCAAGGCGGTAATTCCTTTCGATCGACGCAGTCAAGGTGCTGGTTAATGATTCCATCCGATGAACCTCTATTTTGACACTTAATTACCTCAAAGATCTCCCGTTCGTCGAGTTTAGCCATTACTCTTGGTCTTTTTACAGATTCACCATCTAGTACTTTCAGCTTCTCATTTCCTCTATCAGCTTATCGCTCTTGTGGCACGAGTCGGGATCGAGTTGGGATACTTATGCGCTCGAGACTGGGTGCAAAGAGTCAGCCATTGCTTGTTCCGTGCCAGTAGTCGACACGACAATTGAAACAAACTGACCCGCTGATTTCAGGCTCTATTCCGGGCATATACCACCTCTCGCGGTGGGTGTCGTAGCGCACCTCAGGTGGGGATGAACACTAGGCCGGGGCGCCATTACCGCACGGTTCCGAGTTCAGGAGGGGCATCACGTCTGTGGTTGCAGACCCCAGCCACAGTACTGATAGCAGGGTTTCCCTTAACCGCCCAATCTCACCCCTGTCTTTCAAAGAGTTTATAGCCAATTGGGGCGAGAATAGGTCACGTTTTCGTTTGAGGACCTCTAGTTCGGCTTTTGTCTGAGTTGGTGTCCAAGTTCCTGCTCTACCTGGTATGAACAAGATTGAATAGCAAACCTTTCATCCATTGATCGTGGAGATGTTCCTCTCGGCACGAACACTGCATCACTTCCAGCCAGAGCTGCCCCTGCCGGGGCGTCATTGCTCTTGGTCCCCTTGGCTCCTCCAGGGCACGCATCCTTGCACTCCTGGGATGTGGCAAACCGATTCGAATTTCCGCCGCATCCTCGGTATTGGAACGGTTGGCAGACTTCTGGAAACACAGGAAAGATAATGAAAAAATGAACAGCGGAAAATAGGTGCAAAAAAGTAAGGGAGGAGTAGAATAGCCGGTGAGTACCATTTGACCATTGTACGTAGAAAGCAGAAGAAATTTC